GTGTGTGTGTGTGTGTGTGTGTGTGTGTGTGTGTGTGTGTGTGTGTGTGTGTTACACACAAAGTAGAAAAAGCCAAGAGTTAAATGGATGTTTGTTGGTGTCACTGACCTTACAGACCACTTCTACCAACGTCATCAACATGCGTCGCTGCCATGTTGAACAGAGGGAGTACTTGGATGGAGATGACCTATCTGCCAAATCAAATAATTTATTAAGTTTCATGACCAGGGAACTGGAAGAAAGCAATGCAACACAGAAGTTAATGTATGTGGAGACATTTGAGCTGCCTGACAAGCAACTAAAATTAGCTGAAATACACGATTAATTTAGTTTTAAGTGGTGCCACATTTGTAAGGAACATGCATTTGTGTGATGAGCAGTAGAGCTGAGTATGTGGGTTGTGCACAGGAAAAAATGGCTAAATCTTCTCTGCCAAACAGCTTATTTTACTGTTCTTATTGACTTGTTTTGAGCTTCTGGTACCCCCAGATGCTTCCAATCAGGTGCAAGATKATGTAAGATTTATTGCCAAGAAGCATTGTTACAACAAAGAAATAATTCACCACACAACTTTTCTTACTTTTTGTGCTAAGTAAATTTAGGCAGAAATTGAGCAACTTTGACCCCTATGAGGATGTGCATGTGAGAAAATGGACAAATAATTTAAATTTTTTTTTTCTAAATCTAAACTAGTTTACAAATAAAGACCTCTATCATTTTTTTTTACTGGAGCTGGCCTTCCAACATGGTGATTAAATCGTTTATACACAGGATATGAGAGCATTATGAAGCAAACAGGACTTTGTAATTATTAGAGACTGAATCATCTTTAGGAGGACAGAGAGAAACTTTTATGTAAGAATGATTTTAAAGGGTTTTATTGTTCAGTTTGGAAAAACATTTTTTTCCTCATCATGRACTCACTAAATTAAGCATCCCAACGCACCGTCAGAGTGCCCATACATGACCCTAGGATGTGGTTTGTGTGAACCTTTAAGCAAGAGTGACTCCAGTTAAATTTGATCATAGCTTATTTTCCCATCCCTCCTCCTCCTGTTCTGCTCTCTCCTCCCTTCATGAAGCTGTGGAAACACAGCTGGCTTGTCATTGCTTTAGTTACGCTCACTGCTTAAAAATAGCTCCTGCTATACTCCCTTTCCATGTTCAGCTGCTGGTCATCATTTTGAAGCACTTTTTAAAGCACTATAGAGGAAAAAAGTTTTAAGTAGAAAGCCATGAGTTTTGTTTGAGTTTTCTTAAAAGCTCTCTTAAAGGCCCTGATCTTGTGTTTGATTGTGGATGTATGGTTTGAAGAAAGGCTCTTTTATACCTTTACAGAGAGTATTTGTGCGTAGTGTTATGACTCTGTTTTGTCCACAAATGTGCGACACGGTCAACGCAGAGAGGTTGGTTGGCACTTTTGGAGAAGTAACACAGTTTAGGCTGTACTCTYGAATCCAGTGGAAAGTTTTAATTTTTACGTCATACTTTAAAGATGCTGTGTTTTTTCTTTAAAGGGTGAAACATAATAGAGTTCAATAAGAATTTGCATGCCTCAAAGCATGCTTAAAATGGGTCTTTATTTTTCTTAAGGACAAAGTGAAATGCATCTGAAAAGGTCGATTTGGCCTTTTGATGAAGTCTGAAATAAAACTTGTGTGATTTAGAATTTTGTTGAACAGACTTAGTTAATTAATTAATTTATTTTKTCCCATTTCAGTTCTTGTGAAACATATACAAATATAGGTAAAGCAATAGAAAATAATCAAAATAATCAGTTTTGTACCATTTAGTTTTTAAAGCTGATGGTAAGCCAAGTTTTCAGCTTTAAAACCTTGATAAAGAAAACTGTAGTGTAGTAATTCTTGATAAAAAATCCTAATAACACAATAATATCAGTATTGCATATTGATTGGAACCTAAAAAATATTATTTAAGTGTATTTGCTTACAGTTGAATCTTAATAAAAGTCATTTTTGTGAAAGCGTGAGTTTGCTGTTGTTGGAAAGTTTCAGATGTGCTGTAGGTGYGTTTGTTTCTTGTGCAGATGTGTGGCTCGGTGGGAAATCTCTCCCGCCGCAGGTTTGATGCTTGTCAAGTTTTCCCAGTTTTGTTGGTTTTTCAGCCAGTACTTCAACCCSTCTTCCGTTTACCTTTCTTAGTGCCTCCCAGACTCTGTGGTGGTAGTGGACGACAAATCATGTCGGCATGATTAATGGTGGTTTCAGCTGCACCCAGCACAGATTGGACTTTATGGGAATTCCAACCATCGCAAAGCCACAGGCTCCCAAGGGAAAGTGTAAGATAGGAAGAGAAACACAGACTTAAGTGGTGACCTTCTTTTTTCTGAGTAAGCATTCGAGCCACAGAACACAGGAGAAGTAGACCACTGTGTGGTTGATGCTGTTCTTGGAGTGCTCATTAAGAATTTTTTTGTTCCACAGCAGTTGAGTAAAAGACGTATTTCATCATAACTTAATGTAATAATTTGTCCAGCAGCAGGACGTCTGTATTATTTGATATCTAATAAAGATTCAATATTGGCAACTAAATAAAAAAAATTAAACCTTTTCCTTTTTGAGTTGCTGTTATCTGAAATGGAGCAATGCACAGCTGTTTAGTCAAAGCTATTCTGTTTCTGTGAAAATATCTCTGGTTTTAGAAGCACAAAAAGAGTCAACAAAGGACCCCAGAAAACAAGCATGCCAGTAAAAGATATATATTCACTAAATTGGTATTTCATTTCTTTAGGACTGAATGCAACATCATGCAAACTAGTTTCAGGCTGCAAGAAGCTTCACTGCACCTGAGAAATTTAAAAGCCAAGCAGACATAGGTATCATTTTTATCTTCATTCTGGTTATCCTTTAAAATAAACGRGTTAAACCTAAACCCTGCGAGACACCTGTGTTCCGCTTTCCATGAAAACAGAAGCCAGAAAGTCTAGCAAGTGGTGAAACTGAAATTCACTGATTTTAGTTGAGGCCGTTTCTCTCAGCTGTCGAGGGTCACAGACCGTAGGAGACAACAAGAAACAGTTTCATGTGCGTTGTTGAACAAACTGTTCGGACAGTTAATGTGTGTATTTTCAGTGTATTATAAGCTCAACAAAATCTTGTCTGCTTTTTCCTTTTTTCTTTCCTTTACGGTTTTCCCTTGGGCCTTATTTCAGCTAGATTCACTGTTGCTTAGGGTACCTTTTTATTATTGTAAGAACATACATCATGTATACCTTCACTGTGATTTATGACAGAGGAATGTGGAAAAGTGTCTGACACTGACAATTAAAAAAACTGGTATCTTCACTTGGTGTCTTAGTCAYACAAACAGCGGTGCTAGCTGTAGCTGCTGCATTTGTTAATGCTGTGAAAAATATGATGGTCTCCCACAAAGGGTTTGGTTTGGTTTATTCGGTTGTTTTTTAAATTAATCTACTAGATCCTTTTTTGTTTATTAATAAAATTTAAATCAAGGAAGACCAGGCCAGTAACCTATGTCTGCCGGTACAGACCGCTTAAAAGCCTTTATGCAGCTGCTGTCAACCACCAAGGCCCCTCCCCAGGTGGGGGCCACAGGACTCCCATTAGCCCCACCCCTGAGGGCCCCCCTGATGCCCCAAACCCCGATACCCCAGCACATCTTCAACAATGCCCCACAGGATGAGATCAAAGCCCCCACCCCCCCACTATGTGATGGAAACTAGTCAAAGGAGCCCAGAGAGGTTGATCTGATATGGAGGCAGAGGCTGTCTCAAAACTGATATGATCCAACAAAAGGTCTCTAGACTGGTTATACTAAAATTGTTTTTATTTTTCTGATTCACGAGAATAGTTTTCTTTGCCATACAAAAGGCTGTAAAAATCATRCGTGCTGAGTTTTTCTCCAAGGTGATGTCAACTAGTCAAGTAGTCCAATAAGCAAGTGGATAAGAAGGGTGGAATTTCAGACRCTTAGAAAAATCTTCACTCTGAACAGGTGGACAGAACCAGAAGGCGTGGATGTAATTGTCAAATACAGGAGTTAGACAATGAAAGTGAAACACCTGTCATTTTAGTGTTGGAGGTTTCATGGATAAATTGGACCAGCCTGGTGATCAATCTTCATTAATTGCACATTGCACTAGTAAGAGCAGAGTGTGAATGTTTAATTAACAGGGTAAAARCACAGTTTTGCTCAAAATATTGCAATGCACACAACATTATGGGTGACATACCAGAGTTCAAAACAGGACAAATTGTTGGTACACATCTTGCTGGTGCATCTGTGACCAAGACAGCAAGTCTTTGTGATGTATCAAGAGCTACAATATCCAGGGTAATGTCAGCATACCACCAAGAAGGACAAACCACATCCAACAGGATTAACTGTGGACTCAAGAGGAAGCTGTCATAAAGGGATGCTATGAAAACCAGGTGTTTCGGTTTCATTATTTAACCCCTGTATATTGCCTGTGCACCATAAGCAGGTATTAGATGACATAAAACCCATCCTGAACATCCGTTGACCTGTATACTGTACTCTGTGAAGGATTTTGTATTGTATTAATTGTAAATTGGGGTTT